TTCTATACCATTCTACCATCTGTCATATAACAACCAGCATAAGCCTGGAAACCAAGTGTGGGTAGCAAAGCTTTGTGGGAGTTGTAGTTTGCTAAAGGATGGAGGCTCGGCCCTTGATTAACCCTTTTCTGCACTAGTTTCATAATAAGATCCTGCTGAAATAGATATTATAAATCCTGCTGCCGTATCTATAACTGAATCCGACCGCTGCAAAGACAAAGAGTTCATTTAATTTAAAGATGTAGAACATTTATATTATAAGGACATTTCTGATTAATTATTCTCTCCAGCACTGAATACAGGCACAATAAATAGCAGAATAAAGTATTCGAATCTCCTAAAACCCTACAGAGAAGCGGCTCTATCCCCCAATATATAGCACCCTGTGTTATGTAATAATATAATAACTATAAATAAAATAGTAATGGAACGTGCTCCGCACATGATAAAATGATAAACACAGACACTGACTGCTGGCGTTGGCCTGGGGGTACAACAGTGGGGCTGTAAGGGCGGAGGCCCCTTTATGTCCGATGATCTTTAATGACGAGAGTCAGTGTGGTTAATGGCAGCCATGTTCTAAGTGGGTGCCTCGCAGTCTCACTCATCGAAGCAGCCACTTTCACATGAACATGACATTCCCTCCCAGCCCAGGGACTGCGCTCCATGCATCTCAATGAGGCCATTTGTGGAGACAGGAGAAATGAAGAGGGATGATGGGATCGCTATACATCGTGCTGCCCTCCAGCCACATTGATTTAAACATCGAGCACAAATAATCAGGGGACGGGAAAAAAGGGAACTTGAATACCAGATGAGAAATATTTATCATATTCATAATAGCAGTTCCCTGAGGATAATGGGAATTACAGTTAAAGACTGGCTGCTTATTCACTGTGTTGTCAAAGAAACCATAGATTGAGCTTCTGAAAACAACTAACCAATCAGCTAGTTGTCGGTACTGAGAGAATCTTCATTTCAATTCATTGATTATTACATTTGGTTATCAGTGTAGCCCTAATAAATACCCTTTACTGAGACCACTTCCTATTGTAGGCTACTCCATGTATCCACTACCCTTTCTATATCACTGTTACTGCTCCCACTGGAAGGTTATTCCATGTATCTACTACCCTTTCTATATCACTGTTAGTGCTCCCACTGGAAGGCTATTCCAGGTATCTGCTACCCTTTCTATATCACTGTTACTGCTCCCACTGGAAGGCCATTCCACGTATCTACTACTCTTTTTAAATCACTGTTACTGCTCCCACTGGAAAGCTATTCCATGTATCTACTACCCTTTCTATATCACTGTTACCGCTCCCACTGGAAGGCTATTCCAGGTATCTACTACCCTTTCTATATCACTGTTACAGCTCCCACTGGAAGGCTATTCCAGGTATCTACTACCCTTTCTATATCACTGTTACTGCTCCCACTGGAAGGCTATTCCAGGTATCTACTACCCTTTCTATATCACTGTTACTGCTCCCACTGGAAGGCTATTCCAGGTATCTACTACCCTTTCTATATCACTGTTACTGCTCCCACTGGAAAGCTATTCCAGGTATCTACTACCCTTTCTATATCACTGTTACAGCTCCCACTGGAAGGCTATTCCATGTATCTACTACCCTTTCTATATCACTGTTACTGCTCCCACTGGAAGACTATTCCATGTATCTACTACCCTTTCTATATCGCTGTTACTGCTCCCACTGGAATGTTATTCCAGGTATCTACTACCCTCTCTATATCACTGTTACTGCTTTCACTGGAAGGTTATTCCAGGTATCTACTACCCTCTCTATATCACTGTTACCGCTCCCACTGGAAGGCTGTTCCTGGTATCTACTACCCTTTCTATATATCACTGTTACTGCTCCCATTGGAAGGCTATTCCAGGTATCTACTACCCTTTCTATATCACTGTTACAGCTCCCGCTGGAAGGTTATTCCAGGTATCTACTACCCTTTCTATATCACTGTTACAGCTCCCACTGGAAGACTATTCCATGTATCTACTACCCTTTCTATATCACTGTTACTGCTCCCACTGGAAGGTTATTCAAGGTATCTACTACCCTTTCTATATCACTGTTACTGCTCCCACTGGAAGGCTATTCCAGGTATCTACTACCCTTTCTATATCACTGTTACTGCTTCCACTGGAAGGCTATTCCAGGTATCTACTACCCTTTCTATATCACTGTTACTGCTCCCACTGGAAGGCTATTCCAGGTATCTACTACCCTTTCTATATCACTGTTACTGCTCCCACTGGAAGGTTATTCCAGGTATCCACTACCCTTTCTATATCACTGTTACTGCTTTCACTGGAAGGCTATTCCAGGTATCTACTACCCTTTCTATGTCACTGTTACTGCTCCTACTGGAAGGCTATTCCAGGTATCTACTACCCTTTCTATATCACTGTTACTGCTCCCACTGGAAGGCTACTCCATGTATCACTGTTACTGCTCCCACTGGAAGGCTATTCCGGGTATCTACTACCCTTTCTATATCACTGTTACTGCCCCCACTGGAAGGTAGTAGTAACAGTGATATAGAAAGGGTAGTAGATACCTGGAATAGCCTTCCAGTGGGAGCAGTAACAGTGATGTAGAAAGGGTAGTTGATATACCCTTTCTATATCACTGTTACTGCTCCCACTGGAAGGCTATTCCAGGTATCTACTACCCTTTCTATATCACTGTTACTGCTCCCACTGGAAGGCTATTCTATGTATCTACTACCCTTTCTATATCTCAGTGTTGGGTTGTGACTTATTGCGAGTTCCCCTTACAGAGTTAATGTGTACGGCTGGATCTGCATATCATTCTGGTTCTAGCCCCTGATAGGGTCTGTGTTTTTTATTCAGTATACGAAGACAATCCCATGCTTACAGCCCAGCTAGCTACTTTCATCCCATCAAGGAAATATTGCTATCGACCAGAGCTCTCAGCTGCTGCCCCCCTGTTTAATCAGAGGGCTTTAATCACGGCAAAATGTTATTGTAAGATGGAAGACGCTCGGATACGCTGTAATTAGAATGACCCTTAGAACTCATGATATGAATAGAATCTCTCACTAGTGTTAATCAGCAGAAATGGAGAATTTGTAGAATCCATTTAATCTCCCTCAAATAAAAAAGGAAAAAATAATCAGTTTTTACATCGAAATTTGCAGTGTGTTGCTCAAAGGTACACTGACACATTGCGCTGCCCCTCAATGACTCAGAGAACCCCTAAAACCCAGCTGCGTAAGGGTTAAAAACAAGCGTTCGAGATTAGTTTAAATTGACTATAAATTGATTAGGATAATGACTTCTAACTGTGCGCAGGCTGTGACAATCTTCCCCCAAACGCCAGCGGTATGAGGTATAAGATATAAACGGTGACAATTGCTGCACACAAGAGCAATTATCTCCTAAAACCTTCTCCGATTTAATTCCTCAATATGCAGTCCGAGATCAGATACCCAGAGATTGGTAGATAAATAATAATCAATCTCCAACACTAAGCCAGACACGTCGGTCACATTTTTCTGTCTTTGAGTCAATATATCTTCATATAGTAGAAGGAGACGGGAATAATTGATACTTTTTGGAGAGGATCTATTATAATGTAACAATCAGAATACAGGAATGTTATAAATATGGAGCAGTCACATTGCTTCACTATTACAAAATTGCCCACTGTAGCGAAGTTCTAGTCCTAGCAGGGACTTTCCTCTGCTTGGTACTCCAACATACACTCAAGAACAAGTAAAACACTCCAATGGAACGGCCAGATACAGTAAAATAATCCAGGAATCTCCCACCTCATCCCCAGCAACTGGACGACACTCAGCTCTGGGGGTATAACTGATTTTTATTCACGGCTTTTATGCCATCTCTCAAGTAAGGGGTTTCACATGCAGATAATGCAAGGGTTTCAGTCCCATGATCCCTTGTGCCTGAGAGATAATCGCCTGAATAAACTCCTTTAATTTAATTATCAACCATACATAGGAACCCCACAAAAAGGACATACCATGACAGCCCCGATCTGAGTGACCAACATATCCAAGAATCACTCAGATTGGTTTGGTAGAACGGAAACGGCATTGCGTGGAAGTTTTGACCGGCCAGACACGAGGTGGTAGCCGAAAATAGTTCCAAGAGAATAGGTGCCCTGGCCGGTTTCTGTTCGTAAGGTTCCTGTGCGAAAACCATACAAGGAAATCCTTGCTTTCACTATACGAATGCTCCCCATGTTCGGTACTTTATATCTCCCAAACGCCATTCTTGTATGTGGTCGGGAACAGGAACGAGCAGAGGTCAACAGTTTATCGGTGTTCACGCGAGTCCTAAGCCGAAAATAGTTCCAGGCATTCGACGACCAAGTACTGCTGCCCTTGTTCTGGAGACAAGATGGCCGCTATTCTCCCAGCCACGTGTTCGGTTACACGAAATGGTGGCCACCCAGAAGAGCATTCATTAATTGTTTCCCTTGCAGTTTCGCACTTCAATGGTTGGTGTTAACGTTCTAATGCGGTACAGTGGTGGGCCTTGTTCGGAAGATGAATGGATTTTGTTCGTATGAAGTCTCCCAAACAGCCAAAGAAGAACCACCGACAAAACACAAACGGGCAGCCAATATAGGATATAAAAAGTAGCTTGCAAATGTCCATTCCGCTACACCCACTTTTCTGATCACCCCACTTTGATAAATCTCTCCAGGTATTCTCACCTTGCAGTTGTTCAAAGATAATATCAGATAGAAGAGACAATGCTCATGCATAAAATGGTCTAAAAAGGGTTCTTTCTTCGAGTATAATGGACATTCCGGAGGAGAAATTCCCAAACAATATTTGGTGCTCTCAGCCTAGTGTACCTACCTCAGGCTGGAAGATGTGTATAGGGGTAAGAAGACACTAATAATGTCGGGTGGGCAGACACATAAGGAGCAGCCTCATGGTAAGTATCAAAGGTTAATGTGCAGAGGTAGCGCGAGCTAGGTGTTAGGCACAGGGCAGCGTGTGCGGCTGGTTTCAGCGGGAAGCTCGAGCTGAGGTAAAGTACCTGAGTGGATAATTGCGGAGCCACCTAGCGGCAGGAGCTGCAGGGGTATAAATGTAAAGGCGCCAAAATTTAATTCAACTTACTTGTGCCAGACAAATCAAAAGTTGGCTGTTTCAAATATTAAGCTGAAGCCCTCACCTCTGGAATATGTCTGTCACAGTTGAGGTTCTTTTGGAACAACTCAAAAGGAAGGTGTTAAGCTGTGGTGATGCAGAGTGGTTACAAGCATGCCTGGAGTGAGCCCCTGGTACTTCAGGTGTGACCGAATTAGAGGAGGAAGGGGTTGAACTGCAGGAGGCGCTGTCAGTGGAGGAGGGTGCTGGCTGTTACCCTCCTACAATTAAGGGGCAAGTGGAAGAAGACATTTTTGGTGAGAGTGACCCAGCAGGATGCGTGAGGCAAGGATTAAAAGACCCAGGGACACCTTTTCACCATCTCCAATAAGAAGCAGTGGAGGCAGTGGAAACAAAGCAGGAACTTTGTTCTAAAATTTGGATTTCACTCAGAATTGAAAACAATTCCCACCTTAGTGAATAACTCTGTAAATTCGGTGTTGGCCGCACATATTCTCTCTGTGTTTCAGCTGCTGCCTTTGTGGCTGTGTTGGGTTTTAAGCTAAATGTTTGATGTCTCTATAAAATGTACTGTCTCAACAAGTGCCCACAGCGCGCACTTTTATGCCCTCAAAGGGTTTTCTGGTCTGTTTTTTTTTTGTTCAGAATTCTTTGAAAAAAGCCTCCTTTTCATTTGAAAAACTCTTCCAAAATAATAGCCATTTCTTGTCAACGTTTGTAAGTAATTGAAAAGATCTGCGGTTTAGTGTATAGTTGGCTTGGCGTGCCGTGATTAATCTGGGAGAATGGCTGTATTCAGCCCCGCACAGCACTCCACTCGCTGCTTTGCATACAGCGATCCTGTCTAAGATGTATTGCATGCCGTGTGTTTTGACACTTTGTATTTGCTCAGTGCCCAGATTTAAATTTAAAAGCAGTTTATTGGTCTCTTCGTATATTTCATGGCTGAAATGTTAATAGAGACAAGAAACATTAACCCCTCGCAATAAATCATCATAATATTTAGAGCAGTAATTTTTATTATATTTGTTTCCTTCTTGGCGCAGTCGTTCAGTGTTTATTAAAGGACTGGTACTTACCGGTAAGTAGCGAGGCTTCAGAGATGGAGAAGTTTAAACTACCCAGAGAGCTAGATTACAGAAAGCAGAAGAAAATGCTTGTGCATGAAGGATGAGTTAGTAGGTTTTACCTCTTGACTTATAACCTCTCTGTAGAATAATGCTGCTGCCCTGGCCCCATGAACCCATGACTTATTACCTCTCTGTAGAATAATGCTGCTGCCCTGGCCCCATGAACCCATGACTTATTACCTCTCTGTAGAATAATGCTGCTGCCCTGGCCCCATGAACCCATGACTTATTACCTCTCTGTAGAATAATGCTGCTGCCCTGGCCCCATGAACCCATGACTTATTACCTCTCTGTAGAATAATGCTGCTGCCCTGGCCCCATGAACCCATGACTTACTACCTCTCTGTAGAATAATGCTGCTGCCCTGGCCCCATGAACCCATGACTTATTACCTCTCTGTAGAATAATGCTGCTGCCCTGGCCCCATGAACCCATGACTTACTACCTCTCTGTAGAATAATGCTGCTACCCTGGCCCCATGAACCCATGACTTATTACCTCTCTGTAGAATAATGCTGCTGCCCTGGCCCCATGAACCCATGACTTATTACCTCTCTGTAGAATAATGCTGCTGCCCTGGCCCCATGAACGCATGACTTATTACCTCTCTGTAGAATAATGCTGCTACCCTGGCCCCATGAACCCATGACTTACTACCTCTCTGTAGAATAATGCTGCAGCCCTTGCCCCATGACTTATTACTTTTCCATTGGATATGACTGCTGCCCTGGGCCCATGAACCCATGACTTATTACCTTTCCATAGGATATGACTGCTGCCCTGGCCCCATACACGTTGGGCTTATATTAGAGAAGATGGGCTAACGTGAAGAGACGTTACAGTATTCTTTGGAGATTTCTAGAGAGGTGAAGACTGTGACTGACCGTGAGATGGCGGAGTCAGGAATAGAGGGCAGTATACCCACTTCTAGTCTCACCAACCTGCAGTTAAAGGGGCTCTGTCATATCTTTCGGTTTTCCTTTGCTTAGTAATGATGAGAGTCCAGCATTGCCTTTAATTTATCTATACGGTCTTTGCTTCCTTGTGCTGGGTCTCACTCCTGCGCGCCTCCATTTTGCTGGATGTCTGCATTGGCTTTTCACTGATGGATTGTGGGTAAATCAGCTTAGCCACTGACATGGCACTTGTTTAAGCTCTGCCCATTGCCATAATTTGCCAACGGCCATGTTCCCTGGGAGTAGTCTCCATATCTGCTCATGTACAATTAAAACACTAAAGTGAATTTAAAAAAGAAGAGATAAACAGAGAAACAAAAGTAACATTTAATTCATGGTTCCAGTATTTACTCCTTTTTCAGTATCACCCTGTGATATGGTGTAAAACCATCACTGACCTCGGACGCAGACAGGATCTCGAATTCACCGCCCTCTGCCCATTCTGTGCTTGGTGCTTTCTATAGTGTGATACGCTACATTCTTCACATTTCTGTTGTCATGGTTACCCCTGCTAATACTCTGAAGGTGTTCCCTTCCTTGTATTGGAATATTTATAACTTGTGTAAGGTTGTACAGGTCTGAGATCACTGTCAGCAAGCCTCGTTTCCCCAACGTAAATATGTAATAAATGTATCTGACAAGCACAGATGACCTGACACCGCGGACTAGCTTTGAATCTGAAATACATATCCTGAGACCTATACATGGCTAGTCTCAGGGCGAATGGCCTCCGTCCTAGAATTGTATTATTAGCAGAAATACCGAGCCCAAACACGGAGATATTAGACAGGCTGAACATTTGTACCGAGTCATAAAGCGATGGAATTCAGTTTGTCAAAGATTGAGATGCTCAAAATAAAAGTCTGCCTCAGCGTAATTATAACGGATATAAAACCTAATAGAAATTTCAAATAAATCATTTATAAACAGACACTAGATTGAAGTGGTTATAGTGCCTGGAGTCTGCAGGTGTCGGATCCCACATCACTACGATTACATTAAGGCAAAGGCGGAGCTATGCTTCCAAGCCATACTGAGCTGAAACTCTCAGCCAAACACTGCCATTTCGTTATTGGAGGCCAGGCTTCAGGCCGCCGCAGACCAAGAATCTTTACTTACCGCTGAGGAAACTAAATGATAGTGATACAGGCCCCAGCGACGGCGGCCTCCAGGTACCATAACTACGTAAATGTCACAGTGGTTATAGTGAGTACAGTGTTCCTTTAGAGGCCTGGTGGAATTATTCAAATATCTCTTTAAATTACTTGTGCAACATTCCTGCAAAATTTATAGTAAAGTGTGACGTGCGGCCTGCGTAGCGCTAATTCCAGGTGACCCGTTTACAGTGCGCTTTCAACTGTATGGAGGAAAACACACAAATTTCAATCAACTAACAGACACTGTCACCATCGGCATCAATCAATATTCTCAAAATTCAACAACAATTACATTTAACAAGCAATTTATATATTAAGTCAGATGCTTCCACTAACAAACGTTTAGTTATTTAACAGAAAACCAAATCAACGACACAAAGAAATCCCCATCACTTCATCTGCGGATAGGAAGGAAATCACAGACACAAGGCTAAATAAAACATTACATACAAAGCATTATCCACTAAAGTGAGAAATCAAGGTACATTTCAAAATGAAGTTTAAAATAGCGAACTAGGAAAATTCTCTCAGTCAGCTATGTGTTAATTTCAGCTACTCTGGCCTTGAATTAAAATTTCACTTTCAATTCACTTTGAATCCAGTCTTTGGGGAATAACCCTGTACAGACTTATCCCGAGCAGGCGTGAATCGCGACACAGTAACTGAGCTTAAACGTGCAACAAACGACAGAGTGATCTCCATTCTGAATTCTAGGATCATTACCAATAGCCAAACAGACGTGGAATGCAGACACATTCAACCCCAACCACCCCTGCTGGAAGGCCGTCCCATGTATGTAATACCTGGTCTGTGAAGTAGTAACCCCTCTACAATACGTATCATAGTGAGCCTGTAATCTTCATATTTAGATAGTCAGTTTATCGTCTCCAGTTAATATTTTTTTTGATAAACTTTTCAAATGATTTAACATTTTGAAAAATATTTTAATTGTTGATTTTTTCATGCGAATGTATTTAAAACAAAAAAAAAATTATATTTTAAAAGAAAACAAATAATTGTAAAATGTTTATCCAAAAATATTAATTCATCTGAAAAGCTACTAGAACAATATTAAAATCGAGGCGATAATCAGGATTTGGGGATAGGAGTCCATTGTGTGTTCTTACTCCCAAGGATAAAAAATGCATTACCCGTGCATTGTGTGTAGATACGACATCGGTGGGAAAACAGGTCATGTCTGAGCAACAGAGCGTGGAAAATGGGACATGAAAACGCACTCAGTCTGCGATCATCGAGAGCACAATGCACCTGAAACAAAATACAAACATTACATCAACATTCCATTAATTTACCAGATCCATAACCTCGTCCATTCAATTATATTGTTACCGTTACAGCCAGGGCAGGGAGTAAGCCGAGGAAGCGTACAGCGTTATACACTAAATGCCAATTGTCAGGAATTCAAAGTGCTTTTTACATTTCAGACCAAAATAGCTGAACTGGAAAAATTTGCAGATTTTATAAGTTCAACTATTTTAGCCCAAGTTGAAATTTACTTTGAATTCTCAACATCTTCCACAGGGCAGTCCATGGCGGAAATTCTGAGCGCTGAATGGTGATAATCACCGACAAACGGATCACGAAACAAAGGTTTGTGTTCTGCAGAGTATCTAAATTCTCACATAGCCTTAGATTAATGACCAATCATCCAATTATAAAATTAACTCAGCGATTGCTGTCCAATTGCAATATAAGACATACTAAGATCTGCATTACGCATTCATTAATGAGCCCCTCCAATCGCTGTCACCAGGCTGTCTATATGGTGACATTAAAACAGTCGGCAGATTCAGGGTAATCCCCCGTTACTCCAGTGTTCATGGTCTCTCAATAAACAGTGTGAACACACAACGCTTCACAAACATAGCTTCTTCATAAAAGCATATCAATTAAACTGTTAATAGCTCCTGATTGATTCCTCGTCTGCAACTGTCACTAGTCTAATACTATCCTTACCTTTTTGTGTCATTTTACCCCACTCCCTCTAACATGTAAACTCATTGAGCAGGGCCCTCAATCCCTCTGTTACTGTCACTATACCCCACTCCCTCTAGCATGTAAACTCACTGAGCAGGGCCCTCAATCCCTCTGTTACTGTGTCACTATACCCCACTCCCTCTAACATGTAAACTCACTGAGCAGGGCCCTCAATCCCTCTGTTACTGTGTCACTATACCCCACTCCCTCTAACATGTAAACTCACTGAGCAGGGCCCTCAATCCCTCTGTTACTGTGTCACTATACCCCACTCCCTCTAACATGTAAACTCACTGAGCAGGCCCTCAATCCCTCTGTTACTGTCACTATACCCCACTCCCTCTAACATGTAAACTCACTGAGCAGGCCCTCAATCCCTCTGTTACTGTGTCACTATACCCCACTCCCTCTAACATGTAAACTCACTGAGCAGGGCCCTCAATCCCTCTGTTACTGTGTCACTATACCCCACTCCCTCTAACATGTAAACTCACTGAGCAGGGCCCTCAATCCCTCTGTTACTGTGTCACTATACCCCACTCCCTCTAACATGTAAACTCACTGAGCAGGGCCCTCAATCCCTCTGTTACTGTGTCACTATACCCCACTCCCTCTAACATGTAAACTCACTGAGCAGGCCCTCAATCCCTCTGTTACTGTGTCACTATACCCCACTCCCTCTAACATGTAAACTCACTGAGCAGGGCCCTCAATCCCTCTGTTACTGTGTCACTATACCCCACTCCCTCTAACATGTAAACTCACTGAGCAGGCCTCAATCCCTCTGTTACTGTGTCACTATACCCCACTCCCTCTAGCATGTAAACTCATTGAGCAGGGCCCTCAATCCTTCTGTTACTGTGTCACTATACCTACTTCTAACATGTAAACTCACTGAGCAGGGGCCCCTCAATCCCTCTGTTACTGTGTCACTATACCCCACTCCCTCTAACATGTAAACTCACTGAGCAGGCCCTCAATTCCTCTGTTACTGTCACTATACCTCACTCCCTCTAGCATGTAAACTCACTGAGCAGGGCCCTTAATCCCTCTGTTACTGTGTCACTATAACCCACTCCCTCTAACATGTAAACTGACTGAGCAGGGCCCTCAATCCCTCTGTTACTGTGTCACTATACCCCACTCCCTCTAACATGTAAACTCACTGAGCAGGCCCTCAATCCCTCTGAGGGATTATTTCATAAACACAAAGTTACCGTACATTGAAAACGAAATTCATCCCACTTTAATTAATAAACCATCAATGATTCTCTCCGGGACAATTCGAGTGGGGGCCAAGTGGGAAATAATTCAAAATAAACCGGATCCATAGGGATCAGCTGGAATTCAAGTGCTTTTTAAAAAAATAGTGTGACGTGTTTCTATAGAAAATAATGGTGAGAGCTATATTTTGTTTTAATTCTTTATCTAAAACATAGATCTGTTTTTCCTTTTTCAGACTCGGTGCTTATATT